TGTAACACATCGAAATATAGATTTTAGATCCCACAAAGTATATATATATATTTTTGATCAACATAAAATTCTAGGTCTATTAAGCGATGTCAGTCCATCTGATGAAATCACTCTAGCTTCCGAACGAAATAAAGTAGGTTGATAAAATTCTACTTAAATGTGTATTAGGTCCGCAGGACTTTTAATATTGAAATGGGTCATGTAGTTCCACGTTTTGGTATTGTTCCCATATAAAGGTACCTCCCGATATTCGGTACTTGATGATTTAAGCGACCTTATTCACCAGAATTTTTTAAATTTGGTATCTGAAGTTCGTAATATATAGTACATCCTATGACAGAAAATTATATGTGCAGGTCACGTTTTGGTATAGCCCCCATATAATATTACCTCCCCATATTCGGTTTTTTGATGATACACGGTTATCGTACTGACCGTAATATGACGGGTCGGTATTTTTAAGATCGGTATTTTTAAGATTTTAACGGATTTTATTTTTTTTTTTTTTTTGAAAATTTCCAAATTTGTGCCAAATGGTGGAGGGTATTCAAAGTTCGGGGTCGAACTTAAAGCTTTTTTTCTTTTTTTTTTTTGAAAATTTACGGCACAAATGAGCATGAACAAATGAGCATGAACCGAGCACAATGAGCATGAACCGAGCACAATTTTAAATTATTCCAAGTTTGCAATTGTCTCAATTATTTTGATTTATTTTTTTAATTCCGAAAAATATTATTGCATTTGGGTACAAACAAATTTGAAATAACTTTCCTTCATGGAAAATTGAAATTTCATTGGATCCCACATATATTGACCACATCTATTGTTAAGAATCACTGCCTCCATCCAAGAAATTCAAATTACCATTTTAAGCATGACGTAAAATTTAGACACTTTTGTATAACATTCTGAATCTTATTATAACACTAATTACGGTGCATTAATTTCTTCTGATATAATCTACAGACATTCAATTAGAGATCTTGTTTCTTGAATGCAACACTTACCAGTTATTACGTTTTGTATTTGTCGATTAGCCATAACGTTTAGATTCAAAAATAAAATTTGTTAAACGAATTTTTTGATTCTTCCGTTGCGTTCTTAACAAGGCACGTTTTCATTACTGATTTTAATCCTTAGCCGATTGCAATTTTTATAGCAGAATTCCCAAATGAAATTTGTCGTAATTCCATTGCAAAATAGATCTACAAATAATTTACAATTTTTTACCTTAGCTGTAGAATTTTATTATTTATCGCCTGAACAAGGGAAGGCAAGCATGATTTTTGTATTGGACTTAAAACCAAATAAATTATGTTTATTAAATAATTTAAATCGAGCTACTGTGAGTGAGTTATACGCCTCGATATCAGAGGTTAAATAGTGTTAAAATTTTTAATTTTGCTGTTTTTTATTTACTGACTAAAACATAAATATTAAAAAGTCTGAAATCTGAAGTCCCATTGTTAAATTGTTATATTAAATAAGTAAAAAAGCTGTAAGTTCGGCCAGACCGATCTTTGAATATGCTCCACCATTTCAAAAAACAAAAACCGTTAAAAATTCTTTTAAAATCATAGGCAAAATCATCAAAATACCGAATACAGGGAGGTACCGTTATATGGGGGCTATACGAAGACCTGGGCCTGCATAGACAATTTTTTATCATAGGCTGTAGTGTTGATTACGAATTTCAAACAACAAATTTGAAAAAAAAAAAATCCGATGAATAATGTCGCTAAAATCATCAAAATATCAAGTATCGGGGGTACCGATATATGGGGGCTACACGAAGACCTGCAGAGACCGTTTTCTGTCTTAGGCTGTAGCATCCATTACGAACTTCAAATACCAAATATGAAACTGGAGGTACCGTTAAATGGGGGCTATACCAAAACGTGGACCTACATGGCCCATTTCCAATATCAAAAGTCCTGCAGACATAATATACATTTGAGTAAAATTTCATCAATCTACTTCAATTCGTTCGGAAGCTAGAGTGATTTTCACAGATGGATAGATGGACAGATGTCGCTAAATCGACATAGAATCTTATGCTAATCAAGAATATATATACTTTGTGGGGTCTAAAATGTATATTTCGAGGTATTAAAAACGGAATGGCAAACTTAATATACCCCCATACTATGGTGGATTGTATAAAAACAAGTAAGGAATGGTCAAAATTCGGGCAGGACCGACTATATGGTACCCTACACCACTATGCGTATTTAGTAGAGCTTACGTAACAAAACAAGTTTGTATTGGGAACGTATGTGAAGTAGATCATACCAACTATGAACCAAATAAAATTACTGTATAGGGCATGATATAACTTCGACAAGGATTATATTAAACAATTAAAAATGCTATAAGTTCGGCTGGGCCGAACTTTGAATACCCTCCACCACTTAGCACGAATTTGGTTATTTTCAGAAAAATAAAATTCATCAATAACATCAAAAATATGAATATAGTGAGGTACTATATGGCGCTATACCGAAACGTGGACCTGTACAGACACTTTTCTGTCAGAGACTGTAGTATTCATTACTAACATCAAATGCCAACTTTGAAACAATGTCGCGCAAATCATCAAAATACCGAATATCGTGTGGTACCATTATATGGGGACCATGCCAAAACGTGCACCTAACCTCCATACTATGGTGCAGGGAATAGAAATATTTATTGGAGCAATAGGTATACTGAATCGAATTTCAGCAAATGATAAAATTCAGTTGGATATGAAAAACTCTATTCAATTTGGCCTGATATTACATATATGGTAAGCAATAACCGTAAAATCGGATAAAGATGTATATCGAAGCTAAATAAAAATCCGAACCAATCTCGATAAAATTTCGCAGATGAATTTCGAGCTGCATCTGATGACCGGTATCAAATATCATTGCTTTGGAGTGCATATTACGCAAGTGGGGAAATTAAAACCCCAAATCGGATGAAACATATTCATGGGAGCTATAGCTTTATCTGAACTGATTTTCACCAAATTTTGAGGCACTAATTTTTAGACAAAATTCCGTCGGATGTGCCAAAATTCAGTCCATTTGGTTTGATAGTACTCATTTGGTGCACACCTGAAATCGGACAAAGATATGAATGACAGATATACCCAAATCTGAAGCGATTTCGACAAAATTTTAAACACTTATTTATGATCTTCATCTGATATCCAGTACCAAAGATTATTGTTGTGGAGTGCATATTACGCATGTGAGCAACTTAAAACTCCAAATCGGATGAAACATATATATGGGATCTATAGCCATATCTGAACACATTTTCAAAATTTGAAGTACTTGGTTCTAGTATGAATTCGGTCGGAATGGCTAAAATTCAGGCCATTTGGACTGATATTGTAAATTTGGTGCACAATAAACCTGAAATCGGTTGAAGATATACAGGCTGATATAAAAAACTGCAACAAAGTCAAAAGCCATGATTTTTAAATGAAAGCAAATGTGTCGGAAATAGCATCAAATTTTAGAATAAGTTTAGATTTGTTCGAATTGGTCACCTTTGGCACGAATTATGGCCTACAAACGGCCAATGAAACAGTCACACGCTGCCCCAATGTTGCTCTGCAGTATTTTGGCCCATTCCCGGCGAAGCGCTTGCTTGAGGTGATCGACACTTTGGTATTTTTTAGTCCCAACCTTGCTTTCCAAAATACTCCAGACACAATAGTTCAACGGATTGATATCCGGTGATTTTGGTGGCAACCTCATTTTGTAACGATTCTTGGGTGACGCGTGCTGAGTGCAATGGTGCTGAGTCCTCTTGGAATGTCCAAGGTCTGCGGACAAATGTTTGCGTGCCCAAGACTTCAATACACACTCCAGAATATTTTCGTGATAATTTTCGGTCGATTAATACGAGCGGAGAGCGACAATCGGCTGTTATGGCGGCTTACACCATCACCATGGCCGGCGCTTGAGTTCTGGTGGCCAACCGAATTTTCAGCTGACCTCTTTGGTAGGTAAACACGATAATTTTGTTTGTTTACAAATTGCAGGTCAACGAATGTTTTCTCATCGGAGAAAACTCAATTCAGCAGTTCACCACTTTCGGCCAAGCGAAGAACCTCTTTAGGTCTTTTAAGTCTATTTTCATTCCGTTGCGGTGTAAGTTCTTGCACTTTTTGGAATTTCTATGGCACTACCCCGAGCTCATTTCTTAATTTGCCGAATGGAATATTGCGATATGTTCAGGTCACGAGCCATTTTCGTCCACTTCGACGCGGGTTTCGATCAAGTGGCTCCTTTACTTTTCGGACCATTTTTGCTGATGTTGCTGTTTTCTTCCACTTCCTTGACGTCGGGCTACGCTACTAGTATCACGGTAACGAGCGATGGTGCGAGACACAAAAGATTTATTCAAATTTAAATGCTGGAGTGCTCTAACGATAGCCACTTGTGGTTTTCCAGCCACATAAAAAGAAATCACACTATCACCCTTGCATTCCATCACGAATAACTTTTTTTCTGGAAAATTCTCACCAAAATGCTTTTGTACGCTTGTAAACAATCACTGTATTGTCACTGCAATGATTTTAACAGCTTTCGGACGAGTGGCTTAGAAATGACAGCAGTCTGAAGTTGGTTGCAGATTTTTCATCTCACCCTGTATACATGGGAGTTATATCTAAATTTGAACCGATTCTCACTAATTTCAAGAGTTCAAAAAATTATTTTTGGCAAAATTTCATCTCAATCGGATAGTAAATGCGACCTGTATTTTGTTCACAAAAAATTCATGGACAGAGGGAAGGAATAAATCACTCAGAAAATTATTCTATGAAGATACTCAAGTGTAACTATTGGTCTATCTCGATTCCTTCTTCCTGATACCACTATGTGATGTAGAGTATAAAAATAAGACAAGGAATTCTTTTGATACAAAATAGTTTCCAAAACGAAAAAAATTTGAGTTCCTAGGATATTTTTCTTCGATTTATATTCCATAAAGCCATGACATTTTTAATGAGATTCAAATTTATTTTTTAAATAATTATTTTTCTATAGCCAAAGTTCAGAAATATTTCATAAGATCGTCGAAAACGATTCCAATCATGGTCCAAACAATATCGTTCCTCCTCCATTTCATTAATAGTTCACGGATTTTCCAAAGTAAAATTACTGCACCGTTTGTCCACGACGATCGCAGATATTCTTAAATCCTCTGGCCACCAACTCTACGGCTGGAACAACACGTTGGAACGAAGTTCCCGATGAATCTCTATTATTTTCAATATACTCCACACTATCCGAGAGTAGTGAAATAATTTCAGGAAAATCAGCCAATGTGGTACATTTCGAATAGGCCAAAATGTTGCCCATAGCATTTTCAAAATCATAAATTTCCTTGGGCAAGCTAATGGGATGGGGAGTGGGACAGGTGTATGAAGGATTTTTGCAATTGGGATCAATGGCCAATAGCTTCTTGCTTGCCTCAGCTACAACAGATGACAATTTCATGACACGATCTGCCTTGGTTTCCGGTTTAATGGTTCTCTGTTTCAATTCAAATTCCGAGACATCATCGATGAGGATGGCTTTTTGAATGGCAAATGGATCGCAGCTGTGAGCCAGGCAGAAAAGGGTGTTGCGGATTTGATTCATGTTTTTCAGAGTACCGGTGAGGACCTCCAGTGGCGATGGCAGGGCTGCGCTGGCACTGTTGATGGCCACAACAACTGAAAAAAGGCGAAAAAAAAAAAAAATATTTTTATTTTCTAAAAAACTTAAATATTTAAGTCAAGGAAAACTCACCCACAAATAGTAAGACAACATTTAATTTCGACATGGTTCTGAATTCCTCAACACTGTCACGAAGAATATTTTACTAAGCTTTGATGCATTATTGGTTTTTATAGAAATTTATTTTCTTGGGTTTTTTTGCCATTCCATTCTATTTACTCAAATGCTTTTATGTACGCAATTCCGTAGGATGACAAATATTTACTTTTATCGATTCGAAAGAAATAGAACACCTGGATTAGGCAGAACAAAAAGGCAGTCAATTTTGTTTACATTTTAAATAGGTCGTAATTTAATAGAAATTTGAAAATTTCTATACAATTGTTGACCGGATAGAGAATTTTTTGGAATTATATTTTATTTGACAAAAGCAATTAAGATATTTTATTGACAGTAAATAGAGCTCGATTCATTATATTCCTAATGAAATTATTATATAAAGAAGTCATAAATTTCGGTTTCAAAAGCTGACAAATTATCAGTGTCAAAATGTCATATTCTAAATGGCTGATCGTTAAAAAGTGGGTTTAATATGGCTCTGAAGAATGTAAACTGTAAAAATTTCATTTTTTAGTAACTATAATATCGCTCGAATCCATATTGCAACCCTTAACTAATTTCTCCAAATTCCTGTCAATTTGGATCATCTTAATTCCTACGATATTCCAGAGCCCATAAAATTACTTAAGCAGTCCATTTAAATGAAAAGGCCACTTCGAAAAAAAAAAATCATCTGGGACCTACAAAGCCCCTAAAATCAGATGGTGCACATATGTGAGACTGATTTTTTTAAGGACGAAATCGCCAACCAAAGATTATGCTAAATTAGATTCACTTTGATTTGAAATCGTGGTGAAACCTTTAAAATACCGAAAGATCGGAAGCGCCGCTAAATGGGTCTTTACGAAATAAGGGTAATATATTCTCTCAGAACCAGAAAAAACGTAATATCGGGCACTGCACTCTCTTAAAATGTAATTTTTAACGATCTGTCGAAAAAACATTTATCTAAAGGGTGTGTCAACTGGAACGCAATTTTTAATAAAACACAGATATTAACAAGTAAAAAAGAATCTAAGTTTGGCCGGAACGAACTTTTAATACCCTCCACCATTTGTAAGGAACTTGAAAAATTTAAAAAAAAATCGAAAACTATCACTTAAATCAAAACAGTTCTATGGGGGCTATACGAAGACGAGAACCTGCTACGAATTTTTTGTCATAGGCTGTAGTATCCATTACGAACTTTAAATACGAAATTTGAAACAGTTCCAGTGAATAATGTCGCTAAAATCATTAAATATCGAATATCGGGAGATAACGTTAAATGGGTGATATACGAAAATGTGAACCTGCATACGAAATTTTTTGTCATTGGCTGTAGTACCCATTACGAACTTTAAATACGAAATCTGTTACAATTCCGGGGAATAATGTCGCAACAATCATGAAAACACCTAGTATCGGGAGGTATCGTCATATGGGGGCTATACGAAGACGCGGATCTGCATACGAAATTTTTTGACATATAATGTTGTAGCCATTAAGATCATCCAATACGATATTTGAAACGATTCCGGTGAATAATATTGCTGAAATCATCAAAATACCGAGTATCGGGAGGTATAGTCCCCGTATAGCCCCCATATACGAAAACGTTGACCTGCATACAATTTTTTTTGTCATAGGATGTAACCATTAGAAACTTCAAATACGAAATTTAAAATAATTCCGGTACATAATGTCGCTAAAATCATGAAAATACCGATTATCGGGAGGTTCCGTCATTTGGGGGCTATGCGAAGATGTTGAGCTGTATGTAAAAATTTTTGTCATAGGCTGTAGTACACATTACGAACTTTAAATATGGAATTTAAAATAATTTCGGTAAATAATGTCAATAAAATCATGAAAATACAGAACATCGGGAGGTACCGTTATATGGGGCCTGTACGAAAACGTGAACCGACATGGCTCATTTACGAACTTAACCTGCCTACTGGTAAATTATGCATGTATTCAAAATTTTAGACTTCAATCTCAATTCGATCGAAAGATGGCGTGATTGCAACAGACTGACGGACATCGAAAAAGTTAGAATTTTACGCTGATCCAGAATATATACACTTTGTGGGGTCTAACATGAGTATTTCGAGGAATTACAAACGGAATGACAAACTTAATATACTCTCTATAGGGTGTAAAAACCAGTAAGAATAGTCAAGAGTCGGCAACAGTATGATACCCAACACTATTATCAGTATTTAGTAGGTTCACGTGTAGCAACTAAACGGTCATATTTGCAATTGAGGTGTTAATTGCTTATTAAGATTTATGAGCGGTAATAAAGATACATATGGGTAAAGACATTTATGGGGGGCTACATATTTAAATCTGAGCCGATCTCGATAAAATTTGGCAGAGGTATTTCTGGGTCATATCTGATATCTAGTCTCAAGTGTGACATGCTATCACGAATGTGAGGGACTTAGAAATGTCGAATGAAACATATATATGGTAACTATAGCTGTAACTGAACCGTTGTTCACCAAATTTGAAGTACTTGCTTCTGGGCTGAATTTGTTTGGATGTGCCGAAATCCATTCCATTTGGACGAAGATTACGAAAATAAATCTGGACTAAAATCTGAACCAATATTCACAAAAATTGCAAGACATATTTATGGACTGAACTTGGCTGTGTGTGTTAAAATTTTATTCGGTCTGATATTACGCATTTGGTGCACAATATTTATGTAATCGGACGACACTATATATGGGAGCTATATCTGACCCGATTATCACAAATTTTAATTTTTTTGTGGAAAATTTCATCACAGTCAGGCAATAAATTCGGCTTGTATGGACAGACGGACACACATAAACCGATTCAAAATGCGATTTTATAAAGAGGATCAAAATGAAGTATGGGTATATCTCATTTCCTTCCGCATGTAACAAACAAATGCACCACAGTGTGGTGTCGGATATAAAAATCGTGAAAAGTTATTATATAGCAAAGTAAACAGAATGAGAATATATATGGAGCAGAGGACTTTTCAGAAAATTTTCAATTAATTATAAAATATCTATATCCAAATATCAACACAACGAAAGCCGGTCAGTACTTCAAATTTTGGCAAAGTATGGCTGGTGTCCTTCTAAAAAAAGCCTAAACTATGGTGGATAGATAATTAGTTCTTTAAGCGGTTAATTTAGTATTATTTTAACCTCATCCATATGGCTAGAGAGGGTATACAGAGTGAGATAAAAAAACTGCAACAAAGTCAAACGCCATAATTTTTACATAATTTTTTTTTTAATTTCGTTGAATGAGAGGAAAAAAGTGTCGAAAATAGCACCAAATTTTATAATAAGTTTTCCCTGCGAAGCGCTAGCTTGAGATGATCGACACTTTGGTATTTTTTAGTGCCAACCTTGCTTTCCAAATACTCCAGACAAAATAGTCCCAAGGATGGGTATTCAGAGATTTCGGTGGCCCTTGTGCAGGAAATGAAGCAAGGAACCTCATTTTGTAACCAGTCTTGGGTGGCGCGTGCTGAATGCGATGATGCCGAGTTCTGTTAGAAGTCCATTTCCTTGAAGTCGGGCTACGCTACCAGTATCACGGCAACGAGCGATGGTAGGAGACACAAAAGATTTATTCACATTTAAATGCTGGAGTGCTCTAACGATAGCCACTTGTGGTTCTCCAGCCAAATAAAAAGAAGTCACACTATCACGCTTGAATTCCATCACGAATAAATTTTTTTCTGGAAAATTCTCACCTAAATGTTTTTGTACGATTGTAAATAATATAATGAGCTGTCAATGGAATAATTTTAAAAGCTGTCCTACGAGTGGCTTAGAAATTACTGCGGACTGAAGTTGGTTGGTACCAGAAGAAATGGTCCGATCTCTACCATCTTTATAACAGATCTTATGTTGATGGAAATAGTGAGATGTGCCAAGTCTGAATAAAATCGTATGTTAATTTCGCAATTTAATGTGCTCATTGGATATTCAAAATTCTGACCCTTGTGGGGGAGTTACCAGAAGGAGAGGACCGATGTGTCCCATCTTCACAACAGATCTTGTGTTAGTAGAAATAATGGAATGTGTGAAATATAAAGACAACCTGATGCTTATTTCGGATTTTATAAACGTTTTGCTTATTAAAAACTTTGACCCTTTGTGGGGGAGATACCAGAAGGAATGTTCCGATCTCTACCGCCTTTAATACAGATCCTGTGTTAATAGAAATATTCAGATGTGCCAAGTCTAAATGGAATCTGATGTCTATTTCGCGTTTTGTGGGAAAGGTACCAAAAGGAGTGGAGGATCGATATTGTCCATCTTCGAACTCGACCTATGTTTGACAAAAATAAATCAAATACTGTCTTCGAGAGTTATCAAGCGCACCAGCCAGCCAGATGGACGGACATCGATAGATCGACTCCAAATGTCCTGAAATCGATTTGGTCCACGAAGACCTAGGGTCTAAAACCGATATTTCGATGAGGCACGTTTTGACCGTATCAAATATATATATATATACCCTCTCTAGCCATATGGCTGAGGGTATAAAAACCGAAAAACTTCTCTTCATATTTCACATATCCCGTTATTTCTACCAACAAATCTGCTTTGAAGACGAGATTTATCGGTCCACTCTTTCTGGTACCTCCCCCACAAAGGTATAAAATTTTGAATATTTACGAAACTCATAAAACACGAATTTTACATTCGATTTCTTTCAGACTTATTAACATTTTGATATGTACCAATATTTCCATCCACTCAAGATCTGTTATAAAGATGGTAGAGATCGAACCATTTCTTCTAATTCGTCCCTTACATAGGATTGAAGATTTTGAAAGATATCAAAACGCTCTCATATCAAGTGAAGGAAGTAACCAATATAGTCCAAACCTGGTACGTCGCAATATTTATATCATATTCATTTAGGTCCAATACGGAATAGATGATTGACCCTACTCCATAGAGGGTTAACAATTTGAATGATCAAGATGTCAAAATATATTTAAATAGTCAAAATATATTTAAATAGTAGAACATTGGCTGAGGGTATAAATCTGTCGACAAAACCGAATGGTACTTTTTAATGTTTTTTTTTTTTTTTTTTTTTTTTTTTTTTATTAAACTCAAAATGTTTGGATAGCCTCAGGGCATATAACGTTTGCCCTGTGAATCACATTTATTTTGAATTTTTACTCTACTGACCTAATACCGTCACCTTCACTTATAATTTACCAACCCCTGACTATAAATATTCCTTCAGTTATTTATAAAATGAAAACCCAAATGTCTAAATATCCGTCAGTTTGCTTTCGTAATAAAATAGAAACAACTGCTTTAAAGACGAGTTTATTAAAAATCTCCCCGATTTACCCCAACTCTGTTGAAAAAACCTACGATTTTTTCAACCACATCATTTGGGCATTCTTGTTCAAAACCTTCGATGGTATCAAAACCATGACTTTTTTACCATTCCCCGAATTTTCACCATCCTTATCATCTCCCGACTGAGAAGGTTCCGCCGGTATCAAATGTTTCATGGGTTGGCACATTTCTTTAAGTCTCATAGTGACTAATTCCAGAGCTGGAACAAATCTCTCCGTTGCTGTTCCTGAGCTATCGCCATTATTCTCAATGTAAACAATACCCTCGCCAATGACATTAATGGCATCCTCAAGATTTTCCGTGGTTATACATTTCGATGCCGCCACCATCAACTCAACATATTCAGCCATTTCATAGACCTCACTTGGAATGACCGGCTTCTTTTCCCTCTTCTTGGGGCAGATATACAAATGATCATTACAATTCGGATCAATTGCCAAGAATTTTGGCAAAGCTGCCGATACTCCAGCGGCAAATTTCAGCACACGATCAAAATTACTTTCCATTTCGTAGGGTTTTTGTCTGAGCATAAATTCCGAAGCATCATCGATGGCCATGGCTTTGGCCACGGCTCCTGTATCACAGCTGCGGGCCAGACACAACATTACTTTGCGTATCTGTGACATGTTGTTCATGGCACGGCTCAGCAGATCCCTGGTATTTGTCTCCATTTGGGCATGACTGTCCCGGCTCATCAGACACAGAACTGCAGATGGATAAGTAAAATAACTTTTTTTTCAGTTTTGTGAAAACTATATTCTGAAATAGTTACTTACCACCCACTACAAACAAAATGGGGAATTTCATATTTTTGCACAGGTGTTTTCTTTTCCTTTTCAATTCGCTTCCGCAGCACTTCGTTTCAAAACACGAATTTAGTCTAATATCAAATGTTTCATTTAATGTCTATATAAGTGGATTTCAAAAAAGCCATTCTGTATTTGTTTGCCCAAATGTTAAGCATTTCGCTTTAGCCAATATTTACACAATATTCGAAACAACAAAAAGAGCGCATAAATGTATCAGAGTAAGAAAACATCGGGACAAATAAGTTGTTTATTTTGAAGGTGAACTGTTCACCGATTCGTGCTTTGGCGTCATCAATGTTGACTTTAGCCTTTCTTATTTTAATTTTCTTTATTTTCTGAGTTTAAATCTTGTTCCTTGGGCATGCGTGGTCTATTTGCCTTAGAAAATATTTAACGAATTACCAGTCTCAAGCTTAATTTTTATACCCTCCACAATAGTATGGACGGTACGTTGAGTTTGTCATTTCATTTCCACAAAAGAAAAATAAACAATCTAGCTTCCGAACGAAATGAAGTAGGTTAATAAAATTTTACTCAAATGCGTTTTAGATCTGTAGGACTGTCAGTATTAAAAATGGGCTATATAAAACTGTCCTTACAGGTTCAAGTTTTGGAATAGTTCCCATATACCTTCAGATATTCGGTATTTTAGTGAATTGTGCCGCACTTTCCACCGGAATTGTTTCAAATTTGGTATTAGAAGTTCGTAATGGGTACTACCTGCTATGACAAAAAAAGTTCAGTACAGATCCTCGCCCTCATTTATTATTATATATAGGGATATGATTGTACTACCTGATATTCGGAATTTCTTTTACTTCTTTTCTTTTTATACCCTCCACCATACTATGGATTTTAGCGTCATTATTCACCGAAGTAGTTTCAAATTACGTATTTAGAGTTCGTAATAGGAACTACAGTCTGTGACAGAAAATTGTCTATGCAGGTCCAGGTCTTCGTATAGGCCCCATATATCAGTACTTCCCTATATTCGATATTCTGACCATTTTAGGTACAATACACACCGAATTTGTTTGAGATGTCGTATTTAAAGTTCGTAATGAATGCTACAGCCTGTGACAGAAAATTGTCTACGCAGGTCCAGGTCTTCGTATAGCTCCGATATAACGGTACCTCCCTATATATGATATTTTGATGATTTTAGCTACATCATTCACCGTTTATTTCAAGTTTCGAATTTGAATATGGTAACGGCTTAGGACAAAATGGTGGAGGGTATTCAAAGTTCGGCCCGACCGAACTTACTGCTTTTTAACTTGTTTATTTTCTTTATGTGAAACGAAGGTCAAACAAGTTAAAAAGTATCAGTCGGTTTGGCCGACAGATGTATACCCTCAGACAATGTTCGATTATTTAAATATAGGGTGAGATGTAAAAACTGCAACCAACTACAGACTGCTGTCATTTGTAAGCCACTCGTCCGACAGCTCATTATATTGTTTACAAGCGTACAGAAGCATTTTGATGAGAATTTTCCAGAAAAAAAATCTCCACTAATAAACAAACGTTGTTTTTATAAAAACAACAATAAAGGAATAAAGCCTGACCATTTTGCAAAAACAAAAAAGGTTATTCCTGAGGGAATTCAAGCCTGAAAGTGTGATTTCTTTATAGTTAGCTGGAAAACTGCAAGTGGCTATTGTTAGAGCCATCCAGCATTTAAATGTGAAAAAATCTTTTGTGTCTCGTACCATCGCTCGTTACAGTGATACTGGTAGCGAAGCCCGACGTCAAGGAAGTGGATGGAAGAAAACAGCAACAACAGCAGAAATGGATCGAAATGTAATGAGGCAACTTGATCGAAACCTGCTTGATCGAACCTGAACATATACAAATAGGAAATATTTTCAAGTTTTTGTGAAACATTGATTCCCATATTTTTATACCCTTGGAAAGGAGGGTATGTATATTAACTTTGTCATTCCGTTTGTAACATCCCTAAATATTCGTCGTAGACCCCATAAACGGTACCTCCCATATAACGGTACCTCCCGATATTCGATATTTTGACGATTTTTGCTACATTTTCCCACGAATATGTTCAAAATATTTGTATTTTTGGGTCATAATGGGTTCTAATATTTCCTTTACCCTAAGGTGGAGGGTATTAAAAGTTCGGCCCAGCTGAACTTAATGTTTATACCCAACACCACAAGGTGGTTAGGGTATTTTGTCTTTGTGCATTTGTGTGTAACAGGCAAAAGGAAACGAGATAGACCCATAGTTCCTTTTGATGATCTGCATAGAAGGACATTCTGAGTCGATTAATGCATGTCCGTCCGTCCGTCCGCCTGTCCATGTATTTTTGTGAACAAAGTACAGTTCGCATTTATTACCCGATCCAGATGAAATTTTGCACAAATCATTTGTTTAGCCCAAGTACGACGAAATTGGAGATAATCAGTAAAAAATTAGAAATAGCTCGCATATATATCTTCGTCCGATTTGCCTTTTATTGTGCACCAAACGTGTAATATCAGTCCGAATAGTATGGAATTTTGCACATACAACCAATTTAAGCCTGAAAATATGTATGCCAAAATTGATCGAAATCAGTTCAGATATAGCTATAGCTCCCATATATATTGTTTATACGATTTGTTATTTTAGTCCTCCGCAGCCGTAATATGCACTCTGTAACAACAATATTTGGGGAAATATATCAAATACAGTTCAGAAATACATTTGCTAAATTTCATCGAGTTCGGTTCAGATTTGGATATAGCTCCCATATATAACTTCGTCCGATTTACCATTTATTGTGCACCAAACTTCTAATATTTATTTAATATTCCAAAAGGGATGGAATTTGGCACATACGACCGAATTTAGTGTAGAAGGTAGTATGCCAAATTTGGTGAAGATCGGTTCAGATATAGTTATAGCTCCCATATATATTGTTCATCCGATTTCTAGTATTTGTTACCCACAGCCGTAATATGCACTCCGTAACAACGATATTCAGGGAAATATATCAAACACAGCTCAGAAATATCTTTGCCAAATTTTATCGAGATCGGTTCAGATTTGGATATAGTTCCCATATATATTTTTATCCGATTTCAAATTAATTTCGCACCAAATGAGCAATACAAGTCCGAATTTAAAAGATACAAATGCTTCGACATATTTAGTCCTTTAAACTTTACATTATAATTATAATCATAGCGTGTATGATTGAATTCTCCCATAAAAACTTTTAACTATTAAGTGGAGCTCAACTAAATTAGCAAAGTGGTGTAGGGTATCATAAAATCGGCTCTGCCCGACTTTAGGACTTTCTTTACTGGTTTCAATTTGATTTTTAATATTTTGTAATATTTTTTCACCTTACAACACAGGTTGGGGATATTATATAAGTATTGCAAATATCGTCCGACCCTCACGAAAATGTTCACAAGGGTAGGGTTGGGCTCAGAAGGGCTAGGCCTATTGCTTTCAAAGATGTCTGCAATATATTATGGGTTGAAATGGACAAACAACTACAATGGTTTCTGATTTTGCAGCCGTTACAAATAGAAACCAAAGGACACGAAATCTCGCATATAGTTAGAGTTAGGACAGCGGGTACAATGTACCACTAATTTTGTGTGAAAAAATAACAGAATTACTTACAGGCGATATCCGAAATTAGGAAATTTTCAAAAAAATAAAATCCATTAAAAATTCTGTTAAAAAACTTTAAAATACCTAATACCAGAAGGTGCCGGTATATGGGTGGATACGCGATATTGTGGACCTATATAGACAAATCTATTTCGGGGGGTAAAGTACTCAGTACTCCTTGTGTAGAATTTCAGACAATTCCGTTGAAAAATGTGGCTAAACGCATCAACATACCGAATATCGGGGACTACCGATATATATGGTATACGATATCGTTGTCCGATATAGCCCATCATCGAACTTGACCTGCCTGCAGACAAAAGAGAGGACGGACGGATCAAGAATATATATATACTTTGTTGGGTCTAAAACGATGAGTTACAAACGGAATGACGAACTTAATATACCCTCCATACTATGTATGGTAGAGGGTATAAAAATAATTTTTCGCACAGTGTAATTATTTACAAAAAATAAAAAACCATGCCGGGAAATTGATAAACCACTAGTCAGTAATTCAAATCCTTTGTCTACACTGTTTATATTTCAGAAACATTTTTAATGTTTTCATATTTAATCTCACAACCATATTAAACCAAACCAAATCATGTTACACTGTTCAAATGAATAAAAGTGTAAATTATGAAAAAATTCTTGACTTCTTAACCTCTACATGATCTACAAAGCTATTTAACTAATCCATTTGAACGTAATTTCTAAACAATTAACTGTTGTGCATTTCAAAGCAATCTCACTCGGTGTTTTTTTTTTTTTTTCAAAACAGATTTATGACATCTGAATAACACTTATTCGCCTTAGCCATATGTAAGGCAAAAACACAAGTATTTTACAAACATTTTTCTCACGCTATCAATTCCAGTTTTCGCTCGCATTTGGCGTTTTTTGTTTTTCATTGCTTCAGCTTCTGCTCTCGTTATGGCTTTGCAACTAATTTCAATTTGTTAGTTTTGTTTCTCGTTCATTTTATTATTATTAATAGTTTTGTTGTTGTCGGCTTCCAATGAAATTGTTGTTGCCCGGCTATATGCTCTGTGTGTTTTGCAATAGCACAAAATAATTGTACATATCATGTCTACCCTGAAGTCATGGAGGTTAAATATAATCCACTGCTGCTATTTACAACTCTAGGTGTAACCTACAAAAAAAAAAAAAAAACGTACAAAACACTTAAACTGATTTCAATTTATTTTCAATGAAAACTTGACCGAAAACAGATATGAGTGTATGTGTGTGTGTGGTGTGGTGTTGGGTGTATGTACTATGTCCACAGAACTAAGCATGTCAATCCAATTGACCACTCTGACTGAATGGGACAATTTTGCAAAGAATGTTTCTTCCAAGAATATTGTGCTAAAAAATAGATATTTGAATTTTATTCTTTATATGGTTGTTAATGTTGCATTTCAATGTCAGCCGAGACAAGCGAA